ATAATTGATAAAATTACCTCAATCAGTGGCTTTATTCCATGCCTGCAGTAGGTCACTATCATCTTTTTCAGGCTTTTTGCTTATAGCACAAAGCTCATTATCTGGTAAAATACGATATGAGGAAGACGGAATAGATTGAACATCTGAGATTTTTTCATCAGCACACAATTTGACAAACTTGTATTTGACAGTAACATTGCATGTATCAGCAATTTTATTATACGCACAAACAATACACCCACACACTTCACTGTTGGGCTTGTCCAAATCCAATCTGGTAGCTGGGCTGTGAGACACAATGGTGATTGTTGTCCCAGTAGATGTATCTTTGATGATGGTTCGATTGAAATACTTGCATGGGATGAGCTTAGGAGCTTTCAGCAATTCTAAAAGATGCTTGGTTACTGTTACTTGTCTAAAGACATGCGGTGTGTTAATGCTTGTGATAATGTGTATTGAATGAGGATGAAGAGCATCATTAAACTGGCCAGTACGACTCAACGAGATAAAGTAATGCATCATGTTACGATTGAATGGAATGTCTGCTGGTGCTTCAATAAGATGAGGTGCAACTTTAGTTGCCAAAGACAGGGCATGAGTGCTTCCATAAATAATGTTAAGCAATCTACTTTAAAAACTTCCTTGCAAGCTTCTTCTGGATAGATTCCATACAATATCATGGGATACTTTTTACGTAACTCTTCACTTGGATACAAAAGGAGATCAAGTAACCACAGGAAGGCCATTGGCTTAACAGCAACAGCTCGGCAGTTCTCATCAACCAGGCTCAGATCAAAAATGCTCCCAAAGATGTATAAAACTTGCAAAATCCTAGAAATGAGCTTTTATCCATACCACATTCCTGTGCCATTTCTTCAAGCTCATCTTTAGCAATGACACATCTTTTACTACGATAGAATAAACTACGAAGGAATATCCAGGCAATAGGAATGTCTTCATAAGATGCTTCACAGATCACTTGTTGGAGCTTTTGATTAAGAGCGAGTTGTCTTATAGCCTGTGAGTTGTCAAAGCCTGCTTGTCAGCAGGCTTTGTGGGTAACCCTAAAATCATGTAACATATTTTTATTTTGCTTCATAGGATGTCCTTTATGCATTTCCATGCGGTGTGACAAGTCTATCAGTCCATCCCCTGTCTCCTAATTACTTATCCCTGGGATTAGGTGATAGTACAGTTTGCCTTATGGACAGGAGGGTCACTGGATACAATGGGCCAGAGGCCTCACATCAAACTCCTACGCTATTAGGTACCAAGGCCTGCGTGACTCACTTCAAAAGACAATATGTACACTTTATCTAAACACTTGCAAAGTGATTATACAACTCACAGTTCTAGTTTCTTCTTTTCGTACGATTCAAGATCAGGATTAACCTGTTTGATGAGCCTCTCGTACTGTCTGTATTGAGCGTCTTTGTAATCTACACAATGTCAAGCATGTTCACACTTCACACATGTACATGTACACATATGTACATCACTTCATCTACATTTTAGGTAATAATGTGTACATGTACATTGTACATGTGAAGTTACATTTCTATTCATGCACAAATTCAATAATAATAATAATAATTTTAATAATAATTCTAGACCCATTACCATACAAAAGGAAATGTCTCCCTATCATACTTTACGAGTAAAAAACTGTCTACTAGTTGTATTTACCAGAGAAGCCAGGGTCAGGGTTCTTCTTCTTACGCTTTCGTTGGAGTCGGTCCAGTTCATCAGCACTGGCGTCGAGTAACTTGAGTTGTTTGTAGTCTTCACCAGCTTCTTCAGCTTTCTAGGGGAAAGAAAGGGAATGAAATAAAAGAAGACTTAGCAAGGAGTATGACTTCACATAGTGTGAATAATAATTATGGCTACTGGTAGTTTAGGTATGGTATACTTGTAGTTTGGCCAAATTTTTGCTAAAATGACCAAGAAAGATTTCTCCATTTTAATAATTTTTTCTGGTACATATACATGCACTTATGCCGTGTACAAAGTTTGACCTGATTCCGATTAAAATTGGATTTTTTTACGAATTTTTAAAGCTGTTCAAAAATCAAGCCAAAGTCCCAGTACTATAGTACAGAGTCAACAGATAAATTTCACCAAAAATGACTAGGAAAGAATTCTCCATTTTACAATTTTTTCTGATACATATACCGTATTTCCTTAAATAAAGCCCAGGCGTCTATTTCTTAAATTGGCATTTGAACCTCGAAAAAAAATTTTTAAATAAAAAAACTTGGGCCCAGAGCGGGATTTGAACTGGGGACCTCATGCAATTGACTTCAAGAACTTAAGGAAGTATCTACCAAGTATCTCAGTTACTACAAGGCTAGATTTGCGTATTTATACTTCCATTCTATTGCTACCCCGGCATTTATTCGCATCCGGCTTTTATTTAAGGATATACGGTACATGTACTTATGTTGTGTAGCAAATTTGAGCTGATTTTGATCAAAATGGATTTTAATTTTTAAAGTTTCCAAAGGCCATGCATGTACATGTACACGCACTATTGTAGAGCTTTTCAGCTCATGAAGCACCCACTTAGCATGCTTGTGGGACCCTGTACACATGAAATGTAATAGTACAATACATAAAAACAACAACAACAACAACAATAATAATAATACACGTACTTTCTTAAATTCCTCTTCCTGTTCCTCCCATTCTGCTTTACGGCGACGTATTTCAAAGTTGGCTGGTAACTTGTTTCGTCTGTCTTCCTCAACAACTTCTTTACGATTCAATTTCTTTGCTTCATTCTACATAAAGGTATACATGTTATTTATACACACTAATAGTCATTACTCTTCTTAAATGTAGTTCCCTGAATCTTTTTAACCTCTCTTCACTCTTTCCAGATAAAACAGTCTCGGCATTATCTTGAACTTCTCTTGATTGTTCTTCCTCTTCTACTTCTTCTTCTTGTTCCTCTATTCCCTCGCTTCCTGGTTTAATTTCTCTACCATCTAGAACTAATGAACAAGACGCCATTTTACCAATGGTAGTATAGTTATAGTAACGCCCAACAGCCCCACCTACCTTTGAGCCCCGCCCTATGCTATAGTAATTTAAGGGCTAAAATAAAGGAGTTTAGAGAGGGTGAGCTCACCGACATGGACCAAGAATCTGATGTCTTTATACGTGAAGGAGACACTATACTCCTTTCTTATGAAGTGAAGGGTGAAAAGTCATTCCTTTACTCAATGCAACCAATCAGGAGGTATGCTAGCACAAGACTTATGAAGTCTGCACAATCTAGATGATAGGATCTATGCATTAGTGCATTATTTTCTTGCTTTTATAGTAAAGATGATGAAGCCTATGAAGCATTGGATAAGTATGCATTCAATCAACCCACCCTTTATCCTTTGGCGTATGATGAGATTAAAAAAAGAGCCATTCCACCCAATGTTCATTGTAAGTCATACTTTGTAGTAAATGAAATTCATTAATAACGAGACACCTACGGTGCATGGCCTCGCCCCTATAGCTGCTATGGTGCATGCCCGCCTGCAATAGCTGTTTGATTATCAGCATAAAAGAATGGCATGAAGAGAGTCTGCTCAACACTAGCTTCCTGCAGTTGCACTTGCTCTTGAATACCTGCAGAAGTAGCAGCACTGCAGCACATACATGCAAGCAGCTCCAGCCCCTCCCATGCATGTAGATTGAAAGGTGTGGCATTCCATCATAACTGGAATGATTGGCAGCAAGAAGACCATGTGAGAAAGAAGCTTCACTTTTTCTATACTAGTCAGCAATATATGATAAACTTACTGACAGAAAAGTCACTGCCTTTGTATATTTGAGATAGTATAGGTACTTTAGTACCTATAACCCAGCAAGTTGTTGCTCTAGCGCTGCACAAACGAGTGACCTCAACAATTTCAAGTAAGTATAACTCTTCATCAATTAAGATTTAGAGAAATCTGTTCATATTATTTGAAGGCCATGTTCTAATCTATGGAAAAATGCTACCAGCTATCTCTAAAGTGCCAACACAACGGAACTTGGCCCAACTACTCGATTTTCTTACTTTGAAGCTTCTGTACCTAGCACTTGTATTTGAGCAACACAAAACAGTTAAGAAAGACTTTTCCACGTCAAAAAGAAAGATGTAGGAGCTTAGATCACGCTGTGCTAAAGTTATTGTTTATTAAAGACAAATTTCAGTTGTACAGAATGAATGAATGACAGACAGACAGACACAACAACTACCTATACCTCGCGTAGGCGAGGCCAATTATTAACGTTTAATTAGAGCCTAAGCCATATTATTATTATTATTTTTTGTTTTGTATAGATCTGTCCTTCAAAATTATACCAGAATTAAGGTAAATTTCAAACATACACATAGTCTTAGCATTTCCTCATTCTTGTGGTTTATTATTAATTTATGATGACCTTTTAGTGAAAAGCAATTTCAGGATGATGCACATGATGTTAGAAAAGATACTGATTGTGACATGAAGCTTGTGTACGGAAAAAAAATCAAGGTTTGGAGGAGAATACCAGTACTAACATGCATTGCTTTATCTTAACTGCATGTTTATCTATAGCTGTTGCATGTGGGCTCTAAGATGTATTTATCTTTACCTCAATCAAGTGAGGAAGATAAAAATGTGAGTTTTTATTTTTTAAATTTTATTGAGTTATGCTTTGTGTGTGCCATAGATCACTTTTAGACCAGTATATGATGAAAGAACGTGCCTCTTTATTGTTCATCCACCAAATGAAGAAAAGCAACTTGGAGATAAGGTTACTGGCTGTATTTAAAGCTCTTTTATGAGTAAATGTATTTAAAGGTTTGCTCTGGTGATACCATATTTCTAAAGTCATCCTCTCAGCCTTACTATATAGTCAGTAATAACAAGGGTGACAATAAGCTATCTATGAGGTTAGATGATAATATTAAGGAATAAATAATGATTTATATCTTTACCTTCAAGTGATTCGATTGGCAACAGCATTGGACTTACTGTGTACTTACATAGAAGTGTAAAAGCAAATGCTGATTCCATTAGAGTAAGTGATTTCATCCACCTATGATCTGTGACATCACTGATTAAGTTTATAACAATTTTGATTTTTAGGGAGGAAGTGTTGTGAGACTCTCCTGTCTGGAGACAGATGCTTTTCTTCATGGGGAAGGCTCAACATTAGACCCTAGTATATGGACAAGAGGACTTGAACATTTTAGACAAGAGGGACTGTTCAAGGGTCAGTGTACTTGCAATGCAATTGTTTTCATAATGTTTATTACTAGTTGGCTTTACCCAAAAGAGGAAGCTACCTAACGGAGTTCACAAGCCACTACCTGTTTCTGGTGATTGTTATTGGCTACTAGAGAAATGGGATAAACCACTGGATGGTAATGATAATGCTATTGTAGTTGCTCGTATTGTGTTTATTTGCTATATAGGTACATCCTTTCAGTTTGGTGATAAATGTTCCTTAAGACACTTACAAACACAGAGATATCTTGCACTGAATACTGCAAAGGAAGAATTTGAAGTATAGCAGCACCATTGATTGTATCAGGCATGAATTTTTTGTAGCTGATAGCAGTCAATGGAAATAGAAGTCAAGGCTATCAATACAAATTCATAATTGAACCAGGAACTCCTGATACTGATTCAGTAATGATTATGTTAAATGATAGCAGTTTATGATTCAAATTTTAATCTATAGTCAAATCAAGAAGTACAGCAAGATTCTGAGATAATGCTAGTGGCTGACAGTAAAAATGTATGCTTATCACTAGACACAAAGAAAAGACCCTTTAGAGACTCAAAGAAGAGACAAATTAGTACTCAGTGGCTTAAGGTGAGATAAAACATGCATGGTATATCATGTACAATACTACACCAGGTAAAGTGCAGTGATCTTGGTGATGGTGATTGTGTAACAAGAAAAAAGAGTATCATCAAAGTTGGAGAAGTAACGAACAAATCATTTTTAAAAGCTTATTCATTGAATAATTATTGCATAAAGGTTGAAAAGAGGTCACTGTTTAGGTTATATTTCATTGAAAGTGTTAAGAGTATATTGGTAAGTAAATTATATAGATCATACTTTACATGTTGCTATCCATTGATATAGCAAGAGATGTTAGTACCAAATCCTGTTGCACTAGAAGAAGATGATTCAACTTTAGATCCTAATGAAAGAACATCAGCATGTTTGCATGTATTGCAATGTGTAAGTAAATGGCTCAAGAAAGGATTATCTACTACAAGAAAGACTCGTGGCAAAATATTACGTAGCAGTGAAGTCATAGCTTTGTTGGTTAATTCTCTTTGTTTTGTTGGATCAAAGTAAAAACAATGCTCTATGATATTTAATGTATAATTATTTTTTAGTGAAATCTGTTCTGAAATTGCAAGTATATTAACAGATTTCATAAAAATACACAGCCACAGATCACACCTATATTTTATATATAGACCTCAACCCTGTGACATGTCACTAGCAGATGTGGTTGTATCACAGGTTAGACATTGTAAGATTTACCTGCATTTTATAAACTACTATAGCTTAAAAAGGATCCAGGAATTCAAATGATTTTATATCATCTCCTTGATAGGCAAAGGTAGATCTTTAGTCATAAATCATCATTATGATGCATTAATTATTTTTATTTATTTGTTACCTTCCTTGTAGTGGAGTTACTGATACTGTTGCTCTATCACTCCTTAATTCAAAGTTTTTAGATAGAATTACATGGCCATTGGTAAGAGATGATGCATCATTGAGCTGCAATAGCACTATGATTATTTTATAGACTATTAATGACAAGACTATTATTGAGATTTTTGCAATGCTTTGTACACCTAATGGTATTCCTTTTGAAGAAATGCAAAGTATCATTATCATTAAAAAAAATAATTTATTATTAAATGCTTAGATTATATTTGTACTGAGTTGAAAAAGAGAATCAAAGAGGTCAGCCACATATCACACACACTTTCTCTAATACTTTTTATCTATAATTTTACAGATTCCTTTATTTATAATTGAATATGACACACTGCACTATGTAGAAGGTGGGAGTGTTAATCCGGAAAATTTTTCTGACGATACTAAGGTCAAGGTATAATTACTTTTAGCATAATCAAATTTTTATTGTTTTTTTTCTAGATCAATTATTTTGTAGCTTTACTGGAATTTTTTGCAACCCTTTGCAAGGTATTATTACATCATTTTGTATTAGAATACATTAATTTTATTATTTTCAAGGGAGGTGAAAAAGTATCAAGTGATTTTGTCAAGAAGCACTGCCCATTTAACACTAGCTGTTTAAACCCAAGTGGTTTAATAGACAGTGTTGTGAATGATAGTGTCCTATGCAACAAGCTGAAATCAGCTTACTTAAAGTGCATTATATCTGCATATATTGAACCAAATATTGAAAATTCTGGTATTGACATTGACAACATATGGCACTGCTATGTAAGTCCTTTTGCTTTTGAAACTTTAAAGTGCTCATTTATTTGTAGTTATGGAGTAGAGTCAGCCCTAATGAAAAAACAGATGAAACTAGCAGGTTTTTATATGCCTCAAATGTATCAGGAAGTATTCTTAATGAGCTTGAGCCATAGAATGGATATTATACAACTGTTCAATCAAAGCATTACAAATTATCAAGTTGGTTACTGTGGTTGCATCTTTTTCTGTATCATGTTGCTCTCTTAATTTGTTTATTTTAGCAATTAAGACACAGTAGTGATGGCAAGAATAGCTTTTTTGCTGATTTGATGGAATTGTTGCATACTTTAATTGAATATGGATTCTGCTGGAATTTGAATGATAATAGCAATACTGTGCTTCAGCTTTTAATAAATTTTAGAGGAAATGAAGTCCTAATTAATTTACCTTTACTTGTCCAAATGCTTGATGGAAGAGATGAAAACATCATGATTGGAGAGAGAGGAGTTGGTATATACAATTGTCACCTGCTATGATGTATCATTTTGTTTTATATCAGATGTAGGTTATAGTTTCAGACAAGAGAATCTGTCTCTTTTCAGGCTAAAAGTGAAGTATGTATTTTTTAAGTTATAAAATTTATTGCTGCTTTTTTAATTATTAGCATCATCAAGGTATTGCACTCTTTTCTAAAGCAACTGATTTATTTAGGGCTTGAGGTATGTAGTTTGATTATAATTATTTTATAGCAGAATCTATTCTATATATATATATATATATATATATATAACAGAGATTCCTTACTACATTTCCACGTTTGAAAATTGAAGATGGGTATTATCTATTATAAAATAATTGTACAAATCATGATCATTATTTTACTACAGGGAGGATTTAACTACTCATGATGGAATGAAGCATCTTTTCTCTCCCTTTCAGCTGTATCAATGCTTTGATGTGGCAACACCGGAGGGTAGTAACCTAGAAGCAGTGCTAAAATATCTAATGTGTTATCCTAATGATGATTTAAGACAGGCTAGTGTTACATTACTTGATGACATATATAAAGTAAGATGTCTTCCCTAACCACTTAAAAATTACTTTAATAATAATCTAATTAGGTTTTTGATACACATATAAGTTTTATTTTATGTATAGACTAATTTTAATTAAAATTGTACGTCCAAAATCACCCTCAATTTTTATTACATTTTTTAATAATGTCCTTATGCTATGTAGAAAGTTTGAGCCGATTCCAACTTTAATTTTTCAAGTTATGACCATTTTTAAAAACAGGCCAATTTCTGAAAAATACCCAAGGCTATAGCCCATGGTTTTTTCCAAAAAATGGCTCCGAAATCACCCCCAATTTTTATTACATTTTCTGATACATATTGATGTCCTTATGCTATGTTGAAAGTTTGAGCCAACTCCAACTTTAATTTTTCGAGTTATGACCATTTTTAAAAACAGGCCAATTTCTGAAAAATACCCAAGGCTATAGCCCATGGTTTTTTCCAAAAAATGGCTCCGAAATCACCCCCAATTTTTATTACATTTTCTGATACATATTGATGTCCTTATGCTATGTAGAAAGTTTGAGCCGATTCCGACTTCAATTTTTCAAGTTATGGCCATTTTAAAACTATAAGTCACCAAAATTCTGAAAAATACCCAGTACTATTATTATACTTTGTGAAAAATGACTTAGAGAGGATTGTCTTTTTATCATGGTTTCTTATCTGCCATGTTGAATAGAAAGCTTGAGCTGATTCTGATCAAAATGAATTATTTGATGCGTTTTTAAAACTTGCTTTGGAAGTAATGTGATTTAAATGACATGTAATAATAGCAAATTTTTGAATAAATTTTCATTATTATGATATGATGTAACTCATGCCTATAGTAGATTCATTTTGTGTCTCACATTATGTAGAAAGAGCACAAAATGTTTGAAGATGCAAGAAATTCATATCTTATTTTTAAAGAGGACAATACTTTTACAGTTTTTTCTAAAATGGGAAGTTTTGTGGCTTTTAATAAAGAGGATCCCAGAAAAGAGACCAATCCTAGGCTCTATCAGCAAATCAATAAGCCATTACAGGCACTAGTACAAGGATTTGGGGATGAACGTATAGTCTAGATCTAATATTTGGGATTCTTTAATTTTAAATCCTTATGTAGGCATATTGGAGAACTTAGAGTGTTTTAGTTCGTCTATGGTTACAGAAGATAACAATAATGTACCACGAAGACGCATTCAAATGCTAGCATTTACATGTGGTATGACTTGCTAACTTTGTATTTGTATTTAGTTTTGACTATCAATAGGTATTTTTTCAGCACTCATGGTGTATGTGCTGAAATTCTCACAAAGAGTATATCATGCAAATACAAATCAACCCCCACTCCTTAATCAGTCATTTAAATTTCTGCAACTAATGTGCCGAGGAAATGAAAAGGTATGATATATTTTTGTATTGTACTATTTATGTATGTAAATGTATATTAGGTGAAAGCAAAGATATTTGTCAGTATCCCTCTGTTATTAAAAGTCAGGACAGGAGTTGCTGCAGTTGCTCATTTGCTGGCTGAAGTAATTGTTTTCATTACTTCATGGGACCTTATTCCTTATTATAGGTTTTCAAGAATAACAGGGAGCTTTGTCTAAGAATAAGCAATAATGATATTGAGTGTATGTACACTCTGGCCAGCACTTATCACAGTGACAATAGTGAATATTTGGAATTTTTTAAAACTCTTGGTATTCTCATGAAAGGAATAAGTATAATAGCATATGCTTTGCTGTTATGTTTTCAATCATTTTACAGCCGGACACAGAGGGTTCCATTCTTATTCATCAGCAATTTCTTTTTCGACTTTTTTTGGATTCTTATCATGATTGCTTCAGTGATGTAATGAGTTATGATGATGCTGTAATTCTTTTGGAAACGTCTAGCCAGGATGACAAAGTATGAAACAGCACTCAGTTATCTGTTTTATGCATATACTGTTAGGTGATATTTGCTTTTCAAAGAAAACTGCTCCTTTTGACTGAATTTTTAGCAGCTTGTAGTGAAAACTATCAATTTGCAAAAGACAAGTGTTGCACCTTTTTCTCATTGCATCAACTAATCAAGTTAGCATTTTTGGTTATAAATCAGTTTTTATGTATTGTAGTATAATCACAAACAATGAAATAGCCAAGAATGATCTCCAAAAACCTTTTGTTTGTTTCCTTGTACAAGTATATTTATGCAACAGAAGGCAGTTGAAATGCCCTATTGAAGATCCTAATGATGTGATATCATTGCTAGCATCATTAAAGTATGTAACATAAAAATTATGTCCTTGTCTAATGACATTTCTATATACAGACAAGTTGTGTCTCAGTTATTAAGTGAAGAAGACATTAAAACATTTGAAGGAAGGCCACTATATCAAGATGAACAATTGAAAGAAGTAAGTTGTAGCCTATGCAAAGTAATCATTTTTATTATATGTTATTATTCATATAGTTACTGGAGCAGAGCTGTATAAGAGAAGTGGTAAGTGATACTTTCTTATATGTAATACATTTGTTTGAAATTTTGTTGCTATAAGGCTACAGAAATGCCATATGAAGAGGAAATTGAAGAAAAAGAAAAAAATAAAGTTTGGCAAGATATAGTGACTCATTATTGCTCTGTATATAATGGGATTGCTGTAAACACAAGACATATGAAATTTTGTACAGAACCTGCCTGGACTAATGGTTTAAATGCTAGTCATTTGCTCCAGCTTTACAAGATGAGGTTGACACAAGGCTACTATATTCATATTAAAAAATCTGAACAAGAAAAACTGGTTGAAATTTTCAAAGAATGTATAAATGAAATTGAAGAACTCAAGTAAGAGATACAGTTGTTATACAATTTAATATAGTTATCTACTGGTATACAGATGTGTGACTAAAAGGCAACTAAGAGGGTCCAGTGAAGAGAGCAATATAATTTTGGCCAGAGCTGCACTTAATTTTTTTCAGATCTTTGGAGTTCTTCATCAATGTGTTATCAAAATGAATGAGTAAGCACTAGTTCTTACCTCTCATTATGCTTCATGTAACAGTGGAATCATTTGTCACTTGCAATCCGTTTATGACTTTTTATAGGCATCATTTTGCTAAATTAAAGTCAAAACTTCAATTCTTATGTTCATTTTCTCCTCATTATGTAAGCTGCATTGTTACATGTCTCTGAATTGCTCCCAATACATAGATTGAAAGGCTTCTTTTATCAGAGAAAGAAGATGTGGGTCTGTATGTTTTGGCATTTTTTACAGTCTTTTTCCTTTACAATGGAGAAAATGCTACAGACAAAGTCAACATTTTGGAGATTCGTAGTGTTGCTATAGGCAACAGAAACCTATTCAATATAATTGGCAGACATATACAGAGAGGCATAGCTGAATTGAATAAACCTGATGCAATTCCAGAAAGGTCAGTATTATAAAATTTATTATCAATAAATATATTCATAGTAGTCCAAGACTTCCATTGCCAGATTCAGTAAGTCATTTTTCTATTCAAATATTTAATATTTAACATTATATTAACTCTTATTTAGCACTATGGATCAATCAATGAAGACAGCCAAAGCAATATTTATCTAACACATGTACATGTAGACCATGATGAAGTGCCTGAAGCTGAATTGGTAGGTTGATATATAAAATATAAATCAAGTATGTGCTGGCTACAGGAAGTTGGAGTGACAGATTTAATTTGGCAAGCTGGGTTATCACTAGATGTGATTAGTGCAATGTGCTCTGGAAAAAATGATGAAATGCAGGATAAAATGAGACTGGATCCTTCTACTGTGAGTGATTCTAAACCAGTTAGTTGTTTGAACTATCACTTTTAAGGGGATATGCTTTGTCAGAGATATAGCAATTTTTCTTCGCAAGTTAGCCTATTCAGGAGCTCATTCAAGCTTAATTGGATGCAAGACCAAAGCAATACAAGTTAACTTGAAGATACTGCTTACACACTCATTTATATTCATTTGTATAGGCACTGATTGAACTGTGCAATGGTAACATTGAAAATAAAAAGTAGCACTGGATGGGCAAGTGATGGACTCCATCAACCTCATACTCAGCATTCCCTGCAAAGTAATCACACATATTTGAACCATGTCTTTATTAATATACTGTTTATGTGTAGGTAAGGATAATGGAAATTGAGGAACAAAAGATGCAGGGAGCAGCAATTAAATTGTTACAAATCCTCTTGGAAGAAACTTGTAAAGAAAGCAAAAAAGTTATACAAATGGTTTGTGCTAACCTCAAACCAGACAAAGTTGTAAAGTTCATTGTAGAGATATTTAAAATTTATGAAATCGTAAGATTTTTATATGTTATGCTAGACAGTCTCATACATTGCAGGATCGCGATGACAATTCGCAAATCCATGACCTTTCTAGTCATCCAAGTGTTATGAGGCAAGCTGTTTTAAAAGCCTATCATGTCCTGAGAACTGTAGAGGATCATGACAAATCATTTAACTTAAGTAATTATTTTGTATTAATGTACAGTACAGCAAAGATGTTGATATATATAAAACCACAGCTATGTCATTGTATATTAATTGTTCTATAGAAAAATATAAAGATATTTCATGGGATATGTGGAACTATTTGAAAGATCGCTCCCACAGAATTGAAGTGTTTTATAAAGATGCTAGCAGAAAGGACAGTGGTATCCTGACACGTGTTTATTTTCCATTTGCTCCATCAGTACATTACTTCATTAACGCTTGTTTTATTTTTTCCTGTTTCATAGCTTGAGCTGAACGAAACAGAAAAAGATATTTTCAGACGTAACGT